AGAATTCCCTGTCTGTTTTCTGCTCTTATTCTTCAGACCTGAAACTATTGTATATAGATTTGTTTCATTCCACCTCCTGTACATTGAGGATGGGGAGATAAATTAAGATTGTTTTCACCCTCCAGCTATAGTCTGGTGGGAAAGATAGTCTTGTTAACAAGTGCATGCAGAAGCGTGGATACAGGAAGTGGTATGCAAACAGGAATGTGGTCAAAGGCAGTAGAAGGGAGGATTCATGGAAGAGTTGATACTCAAGACTGTTTAAAAGACAAATGATTTTCAGGCAAAGGAAGTGGGTGTGAACCCTGTTTTGGCAGCTGCTGATAGTATCTAGAGCATATATTGACACTAAAGGATCTCGGGTCATGGAAGAGCTTTTATATCAAGCTTAAGAGTTTGGACTTAAGCCAGGCAGTATTGACACACATCTTTGGTCCCAGCTCTCAAGGAGGCAGAGGCAGTCGGATCTCTGAGTTCAAGGCCAGCCTGGTCTACAGAGCAAGTTCCAGCACAGCCAGGACTACACAGAGAAACACTGTCTCCAAAGAGCAGCAATAAAATAGTTTGGATTTATTTGTTCCATAAGTCAAAATGATCTGATTTGGGATTTCTAATCTGTTTCCGAACATGTCTAGATGGCTAGATTAAACATCTTTAATAGGCCAGGCATGGTGGCTCACACCTTTAATCCCAGCACTAAGAAGTCAGAGGTGGGCAGATCTCTGTGAGTTCAAGGTCAGCCTGATCTATAAAGTGGGTTCTTGGCCAGCCTGGTCTACAAGAAAGAAAATCCTAAGGTACCGAGAAGAGACAGGAAATGGAATCCTGGAGCTTAAGTAGAAGATGAAGTTGGATTGTTTGGATGTATGGAAAGCAGCTGTAATGCTTACAGGCTAGAACTTAAGGTCAGCATGGGACAGGCCTCCGAGCCTCATCTGTTGGGAGCTGGAGCTGGTACCCATGCCCCCAGTGGAATTCAAAACTAGAATAGGTCTACCATGTTTGTGGAAAGTGAGCTAGAAAAATTCTGCCTACCAGTTGAAGAACACAGTATGAAGATTGCCATCTTGTTGGGGTCTTAGATAAAAAAGGATTGACATTAATACATTAGAACCACATGCCTGTTAACTGTGCATACAAACTGTAAAGTTAGCATGAAGTCTAGGGTAAAACCAGGAAACTCCAAAACCTTGAAGAAGCACATGTGAGTTTCTTATTCAGCCCTCCACATCCTAGAACACACAGACTCCCAAGGAAAGCAATCCTCTAGAGAACTCGTAGTCCAGACAAACCCCATGAGAAAGTAAACTATGAGGTGGGTAAGTGAGCAGGTAGATATGATAAATTCTCTACCCCAAGAAATGGGGATAAGAGAACTATCTGAAATCTTAGATATGTTTTGAATTTTCACAAAGATTTTAAAAAGGAAAGGAGTAGAAATAGGAATGAAAAAAGAATCAGCTCGTCCAATGAAAACGACATGTTTGTTGAAGTAGAAACATATTGAACAGGTTAAAGTAGACATGATGTAGCCTAAGAGAAAAATCATGAATAGGAAGCTTGATAATAAGGAAATAATTTAGAATATATCACTTAGAAATAAAAGAATTAAAAAAAACATAATAGGAGTTTTTGAAAGAGACTTGTAAGAAGATTGGGGCAAATATTTCTTTGAACATGGGTCCTAAAATGGCAGCATTTAAATGAAAGAAACACAATTATTCTTAAACTATGAGAAAAAAAAACAAGGTTAAAACTTAGAGCCAAGGGTGATGACTCTTAAATATAGGAGGATGGGGAACTTGAGGCCAGCCTAGGGTATGCAGAACCTGTCTCAAAACAAAACAAAAAAATCAGTCTGCTTAGACAAGAAAGGAGCCAAGGACTGGAGAGATGGCTCAGAGGTCGAGAGCATTTTCTGCTCTTCCAGAGGTCTTTTTTTTTTTTTGGTTTTTCGAGACAGGGTTTCTCTGTGGCTTTGGAGCCTGTCCTGGAATTAGCTCTGTAGACCAGGCTGGCCTCGAACTCACAGAGATCCTCTTCCAGAGGTCTTGAGTTCAGTTTCCGGCAACCACATGGTGGCTCACAACCATCCTTAATGAGGTCTGGTGCCCTCTTCTGGCCTGCAGGCACACGCAGGCAGAACACTGTGTACATACATAATAAATAAATCTTTAAAAAAATAAAAAAGAGAGACAAAAAGTAAAGAAAAAAATATGTCTAGTGAGTAACCAATACAGATGGACAAAGAGGGTATTGGAAAGGTAGATCCTTACATTACACCAGGCAGGCAGAAGGGTGGGAGAGAGAACCAGCAGTACCCACTACTCAGAGCATGAAGCTACAGAGAAAGTGAACAGGTGAGAGATAGTACACAAAAAGTCAGAGTTCATGGAAGCAGTATGTGTAACAGTGAAGACGTGGGAAGGAAACCCCTCTAAGATGTGTATAGCATAATAGGGTTACTGTTCTCTACTGCTAGCGTGGCTCAGCTCTAACTATGTGTGTTAACATGAACACCTCAAGATAATGCACTGGATAGAAAAACTTGACATATACCTTTCAATAGGAAATATCTCCTGTGTGGCTTAGGTTCTGTTGACCACTAATACTAGTGCACACTGCACAGCACATAGAAAAGCCTTTCCCTCTCAGGTTTGATTGAATTTCCTGGGGGCTGAGAACAGGGAGTAGATATAAAAATGTATCTCTCTGGAACTTATGCAGGCAGTGTGTGAATCCCGACCCTGCATCTACCATAGGCCATAGAGAAGGTCCGGGTCAGAGGGGGAGAGCAGAATGTGATCATCTGTAGAAAGTGAGGACACCTTTGTGGCAGTTTCTGTTGGAGAATCAACTCTGTTCCTGGAGTTGGTCAATGCCCAGACCGGACCTGTGCTTGGGAAAGCCCAAAGACAGTTAGTTGCTGGCTGATGGCAGAGGGAGAAGCGGATCCCTTGCCAGCCTGTTACCTTTGGGAGTTTTTTAGGGCAAAGATGTTGGTCATAGGAGAGAATGCTGGATAGCCTGGGTTTAAATAGAGTGGCTGGGTTTGCAGACGCCTTAGAAGGATTCTGGGGTGCCTACAGAGAAAGCGTACAAAATAATGGGTTTCATTATAACTTCTTTTTCTTTTTACATTTGTTTATTGTGGCAGTCAGAGGACAACTTGCTGTTCTGCCATGTAGGTTCTGGGGACTGAACTCGGGACTTCAGGTTTGGCAGTGCCTCCTGAGCCATCTTACCAGCTCTTGTTATGGCATTTTCATACATGTTTCATTATATGTCCTTACTCTCTTCCCACTGCCTTCCCCCACATGTTTTCATGTTACATATATCCCAGCATTCTCTCTGGTTCCCCTTCCTTTAGAGCTCCTCCTCTCAGTCCCCCCCCCCCCCCCCCGCGCGTGCGCGCGCGCGCGCGCGCGCGCTCTCTCTCTCTGTATGTGTGTGTCTGTGTGTGAGAGAGAAAGAGAGAGAGGGAGAGAGAGAGCTGTAAGAATCATTACCAATATAGTAAGTGCTTCAGGTAGGGAATCTGGGAATCTCTAAAGAGCTGCAGAAGTCATCCTGTCAGGGAAGTCATCTTTAAATGCCTGCCGGTTCAGATGACACCAAAACCTGATCAGTGTCAAATCTTTTCCTTGCTCTCCTAACTTTGAACTTAGAAGGCAAAACCAAAAATCAAAGAGGAAGCTGGGAAATAGGGAGATGGATGTACCTTCCTTTCACCCTTGGCTTCTAGGCTGGAAACAGACTCCATGTTCTCCCTCCAAGAGAAGGAGGATAGATAGATAGATAGATAGATAGATAGATAGATAGATAGATAGATAAAAACTATTTTGAAATTTCATGTAGAAAAGTGCATACATGCTAAGTATTATGAGGAACTTCCATGATGTGAATATGTTTATCTTGAACATTACCAGAACCCTGAAACTTCCTAAGGCCATTCTTGACCCCCTAACTGCCCACCTACCCAGGGTAATAGTGATCCAAGATAAGATATTTAATTTTCAATTTTTTTGGTTTGTTTTTCGAGACAGGTTTTTCTTTGTAGCTTTGGAGCCTTTCCTGGAACTAGCTCTTGTAGACCAGGTTGGCCTCGAACTCACAGAGATCCACCTGCCTCTGCCTCCCGAGTGCTGGTATTAAAGGTGTGCGTCACCACTGCCCGGCATAATTTTCAGTTATAAAAGCTACTTTTTGTCTGCCACTTTTGCTTACTAAAAAGCTCTTAGTTTAAATGATTCCAAAACTACAGGAAAATCGCGTGACAGTACGAAAGCTTCCCCGTTTCCTTCCCCTTATTCCTAATCTCTAGTGTTTTGTGCTTAATGGAAGCCTGAGACTCAGCCGTAAGGTGCTAGCTTCTTCTCAAAGGAAGACCGGAAATGAGTTTGGTGAAGGGTGTAAACGGACTTAAATTTTATAATGCTCTACTTTCTGGGGAATGACAAAATGACAACCTTTTAAAAAGTAGTGGGTCTCTCCCTGTACCTTCCTGTGTGTTTGATTTTTTTTTTTGTTTTTTTTTTTTTAATTCTTCCAGAAAGAAAATTTGGGTTTCCCCCTGGGAAGTGGGGAACTGTTTGTGTGATTTTTATTGCTGAAGTAAACATGGTTTTATGACGTCTCTGCTCCATGCATACAAATTAAGACACTTAAGCGAGCTCTGAGGTTGATTCACCTTAGCATCGTCTTCCTTCCCCTTTCTTCCTTAGTACCTCTCTCTGCTAAGTGCCCAGTGGTGTCTGGCATGGTGAGATTAAAAGTTGCACTTTTCTTAATAGATGCAACTCTCCTCCTGGTCTGCAGTAAGCAGGACCTGCTTTTAAGCAATTACCCATCATTTGGGGCTATCAGACACACTGTGCTTTGGTTGGTTCAGGTCATAATCAATAATTCATATGTCAATAGGAGAGCCATTAGCTCAGGTGAAGGCAGATGCCTTTCTAATGAAAATGTTCCATTTTCCAAATGACTTTTCTTTTTCACAGAGAGTTGTGGTTGTAGAAGACATAAAAAGATGGAAAGCTACGTTGGAGCTTCCTGGTCAAACCAAGGAGAACCTAGTTGTAGCCTTACAAGAATTAAAGAAGAAAATCCCCTCCAGGGAGGTGTTGAAGTCGACGAGGATAGGTATGCTCTGAGCTCTGTGGGAAGTACTTCAGAGTGTCTCCCCCTTCTTCCCGTACACTATGCCTTGTCTGACCCACCCAGGTTTTGCACACTCACTGAAGGGGACTATTGTTTAGAGCATTTTACTAGCCTCAGGCTAATACTTTTGTAATATTTTGTAAAAATTCAAGAAAAAAAATGAAGTGAAAATACACAAAACATAGTCCTCAATCTTTGATTTTTTTTTCCAATTTACTGTATGTTGGGAGGGGGGTCGGGTGTGTGTTTGCCACAGTGCACATATGGAGGTCAGGGGACAGCTTAGTGGACATTGGCTCTCTCCCTCTAACGTGTGGCAAGTTGGGTGGCAAGCACCTTTACCCATTGAGCCGTCTTGCCGCACCTCCCCCACCTTTTGATCAGAGTGAGCAGAACTACTCTGTCCACTTATTAGACAAGGTCTGTACTTATCATATAAACTGGTAAGTGACAGTGACATATAGGTCACATTTTGAGTGTGCCCGATGCTGACTGCGCAAAATGTTTGAGACTTGGTTGTGACCTCGAGGAGCTCGAGGAGCTGGGTAGAGAGGCGATGGTGTAGACAAACAGGAGTGATGCCCTGCTGTGGTTATAAATACGCACAGGCGACCTGCCACTGTCCACTCCCCCGACCTGGAGAGACTGTGCGATCAGAGGTAAAGCAGTTGCTGTAATCTGGGGACTTTGGAGAGATTTCATAGAGGGGGCAGCATTTCAGTTAAATCTTGAAGGAAACTCGGCTTAATCTGTCCTCAGCGGCAACAATCACCGGCAAAGCCTGGTTTATAAAACAAAACGGTAGCGACATTTGCCGTTGTGCCGTTTATCACAGCTTTGGAGATGCTTCAGAGGTAAGTGAGGGACCACGCTGAGCTGCCGTTTTAGAGCAGCCCACAACTGTGGCTAATCTGCAAGGGAGGAACAACATGTGTTCCTCAAGCTGCTCTCGGTTCCCCCGAGAGTCCAGGATCGTCTTTCACAGCTGCTGCCTCTGCCCTCACTGGTGCAGCCATCGCCTCCTCTGCCTCCCCTTGACCTCCTCTTCCTGAGAAGCTGGAGAGAGCAGCGTCACACTGTCGCTAACAGCTGGGAAGAGCTGTGCAGAGTCCCCAGGGAGCCCCCAGGAATCTTAGAGTTGCACCCCTGTAATATAAACCAGCGTCTGAGGAAATTAGATGCTTAAAGAACATAAAACCCTATCATTATAGCCAAGGAGATGCTCCCATCTGCGGTAGGATTTGCTGTCTTTTTAGGTTGTGGTCACTAGAGGGCAATAAGACCATTCACATGAGCCTGTGAGGCCGTTCCACCAGTAGAGGGTACTAGTGTTTAATACTTTATGACCTGCTTGTTTATGTAGGTGCACGATCCTGTTTAGACACATATCACAGGTACTATATGTGATCAGATCTTAAATCTTAGCATAATAAGCTAGGATTGTCCTAATGGCAGGACAGGTGATCATTTTAAAACCCGTTTCTGTTTGACCTTTGAATATGACTGTGAGTGCTTTCCGGATGCTCAGAGGTTACAGCTCAAGGGCCATAATAGATCGACCATGAGGTCTGACTTAGCAGGAACTGGAATCCATCTAACTTTGGAACCCTGACCTTACTCCAGCCTTCCCTAAACTTGAAATTGCATGGAATGCAGGGGGTTCTGGGTTCCTTTACAGTTATATCAGGTGAAAATCTCACTTAGATCATTTCCTGAAAATGTTTACGCTTCAACTTTTAGCCTTCCTGCCTGGCTCTACCTTGTGGGGTGTAAGAAACAAAATCTACAGAGTATCTTCTGTGTGCTGGGAACTGTGGGGTATAAAGGAGAAAGGAGTTGCTCCTTCTTTTTGAGCTTTGAATCTGATGGAAAGACAGGCAGTTTGATAAGACCTTTCCTGTGGTGTAGTGCTGTGCTCTGTCACCGGGAGAAGTTAGCCAAGTGGATGGAAGTAGGAGAGAAGGTGTTGAAGAATGTGTCAGGCAGAGGGTGTGTCGTGGAAGTGGGAGAGAGAACGTGGTCGTGTTCCAAAAGCTCCAAGTTGTTAGGTGTATTTAAAATGGAACATGCCAGAGAGAGTATGGCAAGGAACGAGACTGAGAGACAGTCTGGACCAGATGGAGGAGGCTTTTTGTAAGCAATTCAGAACTGTTTGGTTTTGGCAATATATTAGTTATCTATTACTGTATGAAATTGCCCTAAAATTTAGTTGCTTAAGAAAGTATTCCTTCACATAGTTTCCTGAGGGTCAGCAAACCAGGAGCCAGTTTATCTGAATGGTTCTGGCTCAGGGTATGTTTATTTTGGTTTAGTTTGGTTTGGTTTGATAGGGACTCTTAAAACCAGGCTGGCCGTGTAGTTTGGAATGACCTTAAGCTCTGGATTCTCTTATCTTCCTTGCCTAAATACTGTGTGACGTGTTCCCCTCTCCTCCTGCTGGTCCCTGTCTTTACGAGCTTGGCGTTGGCTGTTGGTTAGAGGTGCAGTCTTCTGGTGGGCTTCTAAGATAGCACAGTTAGAGGATTGCTTCGAGAAGACCCTTAGTTCCTCATCACACAGCCTGTCCTCCTGGCTGTTCCTCATAGCAGCTGACTTCCCCAGAGCCCATGATCCCAAAAAGGTCAAGAACTGAAACAACAGTCAATACAGAAGCCACAATTTGCTGTTTGTCTCTTTGGTTGGTTTTTTTGAAACAGAGTTTTGTTGTGTAGCCCAGGTTGGCCTGAAACTCGCTGTGCACCCAAGCTAGCCTCTAATTTATAATTATCTTGCCTCGGGCTCTCAAGTGATGGGATTACAGGCAGGAGCCACTGTGCCTGGTTTCCATAGTTTCTTTTATAGCTTAATCTCACAAGTACCATTTTCATTGGATTCTGCCAGTGGCTGCATGTTTTGAATGGCAACTACCCAAGGTGTGGTTACCAGGATATGAGACTCCCTGAGGGTTGTCATGTGTGCTGGCTACGCACGCTCATGTTTATTTGTTGAAAATTGATAACCATTCGCTCTTCAAGTGTGCTTTTATTTTCTCTGTCCCCTCCTGAGATTCAGCGGTCTAGAGAATCTCTTCAGATATGTGCCTTCCAAACTCCTAATTCTCTCTTCTGCAGACTCTTACCTCATTCATGAGTTCTTCATTTCAAAACTGTTTTTATTTTTTTCGTGTTTCTTATTTTCTCTAGAATCATAGAGCATCTCAAAAGAAATGTCTAAAAAGATATTAGATACAGCCTTTAATTCCAGCATTCAGGAGACAGAGGCAGGCGGATCTGAATTTGAGGCCAACCTGGTCTACAGAGCGAGTTCCAGGACAGCTAGGAATACACAGAGAAACCCTGTCTTGAAAAACAAAGAACCAAATTTTTTAAAAAAAAAACACCAAGATATTGGGTATATAAAACTGAATCTAAAGAAAGATTGTAACCATTTTGATATAAATGACTCATCATCAACATAGAGCGAGGAATTGTGGCGACAGAAACAGATAAGCCATCGCACAAAGCCAAGCCCCAGTCCTGAAGCACATGGATATTTAAAGGGTTTTAGGACCATACCGAGAAAGCTGACCAGAGGGACAGAAGAAAATGCTGTCATTTAAATGAAAGAGTCAGGGTTTGGAGGGAGGCATGGTCAGCCTCCATGGTTATCACTGGACCAGATAAGCTTAGTTCAAAAATGGCACTGATTTATAAAATAGTCATTAATAATTTTAGGACAGTCTCAGAGGCAAGGTTGGAGACAGGAGCGAGAGGAGCAAAGTGGGGTGTGGAAATGACCCTGAAAAGAGAAAAGCTTTTGAGAAGTTTGGTAGTAGAGAGAGAGGTGACGGGATGGGGAAGGGGAAGGAGGTAGATTGAATACGTCAGGCTTTAAGAGAGAGAGTGGCAACGTGCTGAACGCTAATGAGAAGGACCTAGTAGAGGAGAGGAGTCAGCGTTGGAAAATACAGGACGAGGTCTCCGTGTTAAACTAATGAGCCACGTGAAGATCAGCAAGAGCCTTGCATCATTTGATCTGCATTTTATTTCCAATCTGGAATAATTCATTCGCTTGACACACATCAAGGACCTTGATATACCGTGGCTTACGTTGCGTGCCAGAGAGTGATGTCTAGTCTGTGTCTGTAAGATCCTCATAGTTCTTGCTTAGAGAGTAAGCATGTAAGTGTATAGTTGTGGTTGACTTTTGAAAATATGAGCGTCGGGGCACATACTAGTCCGTGAAGGTGCAGCAGCACTCTCTTCTCTGACTTGGGAAGGGTTGTCATAGAGATGCACCTTTGCTGGTTAGAATGAGCTCCTGTTTGTTGCAGGCAGAGACATGAGGAAGGAAAGGAAAGCCTAAAGGCCTGAAACGGCACATTACCATGTGGATGCACCGGGCGGTGATGCGCACCTTTAATCCCAGCACTCGGAGGCAGAGGCAGGCAGATCTGAGTTTGGAGGCCAGCTTGGTCCACAGAGCCTGTCTTCCAGGACAGGCTCCGAAGCTACAGAGCAACCTTGTCTCGTAAAACAAACAACAAACAGGATGTGAATGCACAGCAAGAGCGACAAGTGCGGGTCTGGTTCTGGCCTTGACTTCCTGGCAGTAGTGGGCTAACCTGGGACTGTCAGCCTTGTAGACCCTTCTTCCCTAAGTTACCTTTGCCACAGTATTTCATTACATCAACAAATGAAACTAGAGCACCTACCTTGTCCTGGTGCTCAGGAGACTAAGGCAGAAGGATTACCATGGGTGTGTTCCTGGTTACAGAGACCTTGTCTCAACGTAACAGTTAATAGCAAAAGGAAGCAGAGCACAGAGAAGAAACAGAAATATCTATGCAGTGGTAGATGATGATAGTTCATGGAAAAGTAGGGCAGAGGCAGAGGCCCTGGCAATGAATGTGTTGGTGCAGACAGGAGCGCATTGAGAGTGACATCTGAACAAACACGTAAAAGACGTGAGGGAGTGAGCCGTGGGAACAGAGTGCGGCCCTG